ACTTAGCTAAAAAGTTAAATGAATTCTTCTGAGGTTATTGTTTTTCTTCTAATAATTTCCACTATTGTTTCACTGTATTTATACATCACATATTATAGAATCAGTTAACCCCTTGCCTTACAATTTATTTGCCAGATGCGTCAGTCAAAACTATTCATAGTTACAATATTAAAACAAAGAAAATTAAAATGTTTGGAGCATTTTCTATTCAGCGATCCTTGACTATACAAATTGTAGTTGGACCTAAATTTCAAGTTGAAGAGTATTCAAAATTTTGGGCAAGGTTATGTCACATTTGAATTGTGAGTTACGAGTGAGACTCGTCAAAGTATGGCAATGGAAAGAACTAATTTCAAATTACTGTTTGAAATAAAATGGTGACACCTCTGAAAGGGTTAATAGCGATGGGTCTAACTAAAAATTTACTCGTGTTACTAGAGTAAGAATTACGAGCGAAAGAAAACAGGGACGAACGAAAAACGAGCGACAAGTTTTAGCTGGAATAATTATGACGACGGACAGACGGATCTTACGACGACAGAGAAGTTTACGAAGCGAGCGGCCTGCATCTGTAACCTAGAATACTCGTCGAGATCCAGTCACGACGCGGTTGGAGCAAGAAGGGAGGGAGGAAAGTTCGCGGAGAGACGAGTCGTGGAGCAAGTCGAATAACTGGTTGTTCTAGTTTCTGGCGTTACGTTTAACTCCTTGCTCTCCTGCGGGACCGGGAACGACCGGTATTCGACTCGACGCGAAATATGTACTCCATCGTTGCTCGGTCTGACGGGAATAAAGACTGACGTCGGTCACAGCGAGTTCCGAATACCGTTAAAATTACGTTTGTGACGATTCGTCGGTTTCTTCTATCCGCGAAAGACAAACAATCGACGCGCGTCGTCGATCTCGAAACCGAGCTCTATTCCGTTGTTCTTTCCACGGTGCGGTTTAGCGACACCGTCACGACCGACTGAACCGCGGATCGATTCTAACTTTGTCGCACCGTCACGACTCGCAGTGTTTCCCCTATAATTTCAGCTCGTTTCTAGTCTCGACGTATAACGATTCCCGCTGAACCGTTTTAGCTCTTCCGCGTCGAGAAGTTTCTATAGCGAAGCTCGGAATGTGGAAATTGCTAATCTTCCGATCGCAGGTTTCCGACTTTATCGACGAGAATCGTCCTTGGTTGCGATTCTAGATTTACTCTGCGGTTTTTTCTCGTCTCGCCCTTCCACCGAATTCGTTTCCACCTACGCAACTCCACCTTCTTTTTCTTCCCTCTCGCCGTTTTTCCCTCGTGCCTTCGATCGGTCTCCTCCCGTCGCGACCTCGACGTCGGGTTACCGTGTATTTTTAGAGAGACGATGACGACGACGTTTACGTCCGCGGCGTTCTAGCGAAAATAAAAAAGAAGGGAAGAAGAAAGTTCGATCATCCTGCGATCCCGAGGCTGAAAGCAGGTTATGGTCAGAGCGTATGTGTGTCGCGTTCGTAAACGCGGCACGTATCGTCTGCAGGGACGAGGCTCGAATATGGGACACGAATTCTCCGATTCCTGAAATCGATCATTGCGGCGTTTTCCTCCGCAGCCGATTCGGAAACTGTTTGCTCGAAGATTCATCGAGTTTAATAGGCAGAGTAACGCGTGGTCGAGCGTGAAAATACGCACCGTTCGCACCGAGGAAAAATTCCAATGAGAAAAATTGCTGGCTCCCCGGGTCGTAAAGCGGACCGCCGTTAAACCGCGTTCCATTCCACGTAGCCGAACAACGATCGTTTCGTTAACTTTGTCCGGCTACAGACGGAGAAACGGATACTAGAGACGAGGAAGTTTGTTGCAAAGTTTACGCGATTTCGAGGCCGAAGAGAGATGGAACCACGCGGTTTTATGGGTCGTTTCGTTTTACTTTCCTCGTAAAAAATCCAACGCTGTTCGTCTTCGAGAAGCTCGACGGAAACTCTTCCGATTGAAAAGCAACTTTTCCTCTTCGGGAAATTATACCGAAATCGACGTCGAATTTTCGTGACCGATTACCGAACAATTTTTCCAACGACCATAAACTCCCGTGGATGAAACTACGAAACACAGCTTTCGAATCGCTTTGAGCACGAAGAGAAAAGGAGATAAAGAGAGAGGAGGTTCGCGTGGTTCTAGCTAGTGATTATTAACCCGCAGTGACTCACTAGGTTGAGGACCTTTATGATCCACGCTAATGGGCTCGCCACTTGAAGCGTACACGTATCGCAAGCAGCGTCACGCGTTTGATGGTTCTCGACCACGCAAATCTCGTTGCGTTCGTGAAAAGCTCTCCCTGTTTCTGGCGAAGAAAAAGGGTCGCTACACGCGTATCCGACCTCTCAGGCTTTTCTTCCTGGGAGACAGATTTCTTCGTTGCGTAACGATCGGAAACGCGTCGTGTCAGTTTTGAAGGCGACGCGACACACCGAAGCTTTCGATTAATTAATCAAGCAGCGAATTAAAATGTATCGGGTCAGACGCGGCGAGAATACTTAATCGCGTAACCGTCGTACGGTTCGGAAACACCGGAGGGTCGAGGCAACGTTTCAGGATCAAATATTTACGTCTGATCCGGCGCGTTCCTAACCAGAACGTCGCTTCAATTATAGCAGACGGGCTATATCTCGCGCGTTATTATACCCCGGGCTATTTGTGTACAGGATTTCGAGCCGAGAATACGATGTGCTCTCGGCTTCTGGATTCCGCTCGTTAAGTCAGTGACCCGAATAGAGCCCACGTAAGGAGGAAATAGGAAGTCATTGACGCAACGCTGATTTTTCAGAGAGGTTCAATGAAGCCGAACGAACCTTCGGAATCGGTTACACGCTGAATTTCCTCTTCCCTTCAACCTATTAACTCCATGACGAGTAGCCCCTTTTTTGCCGTGCTCGAAAATCTTGATCGACTTTGTATTCCTTCTCACCGATTCGTTTACAGATCGATAGGTAACGAGATTCGATGCTAACGCGAAAAAGAATGCAGAAGATGCAGCTTTCGATATGATCCTGTTTAGCAGATTCGGAACGGTCGGGTATCGGATAGGTAATTACGGGTCGGGAGAAAGGAGCGTGAGGGAGCAGAGTGGCAGACAGATTTTGCACGCGTGTGCGTGACCAGCGTGCAAACAGCGAACGCTGATGGACGTGTGCCACGTGAACCGCATAACGAGCGACGATCATTGGCTGCGTTTCGCCCACTCGGCCTTTGAACGCGTCCCCCGTGAGACGATAACGCGATGACCTCGAGATAAATTGCTCGTACTCGCTGTTCAATGGCATCCCTCGGCCTGCGAAGAAAGTCCGCGCCAGATGGATACCAATTGGTTGCGTAATGAACTCGTTCGAACTGTCAAAAGCTGAGCGAAAGAACTGCGTCTCTTTTCGAACTCCGCTTTCATTCGCCAGGGAGTAGAAAAAGCGGATCCTAAGTCTTGCAAAATTGAACGTACGTTTCGTTCGCCGGAGAAGCGCGAAGTCGTTTCGAGGAACAGCGTATTATCGTAGGAGCGAGAGAACAGAAAAGGAGGGCAGAAAGCAATTTAGGAAAAACTGCGAGCCGCCTGTGGCGAGACCATATTTCTATGCAGATGCGGTCCTTGACGAGGTTGTCGGTTCTCTACACAGAGGCTACACAGGGGAACGGCAATCTTTTCTTGCCACTCGAACGACTAACGTTTTTTTCTAGCTTCCTGCAAGAGCATTCCTAGCCATTCCCCGGTATCGGTCACGGAACGATCTTGGACGAGGTCCTCGAAGAAAAAGAGACTGACCTTGTACCCAAATGCCAGTTTCTGTTGCCGTCGTTATCTGTACGCGCGAAAAGGTCTACGAGGGAGCTTGCATAAGCGTTAAATCGTGCTCGTTACACGGACAGGCCACGTAATCGCTCGTATTTGGAGCAGAATAATAGCTGCGCGATTTCTTTCGAGGAACAAGCACGAAATTGCGGTCTTTAATCGATCGGGATACGCGCAGTTTGGCTCGACGATGCTTGGAACGGCTTCGAACGTCCGGTCGAGAAAACGGAAGCTCGTTACCGAAATCTTGCACGCGCCAACGAACGTTTACGCTCGTAAGCGGAACCGCGTATCGAACAAAAACGATAACACAAAGGACTCGAATTTGCTCGTAAATTGCGAGCTCGGTAATTTGATCCGCGCTCGAGAGAGAACCCCGAGATCTTTTGGAAAGAATCCAGCACGGATTCCTTGCGCGTTCCTAACCTTTGTCGTATAATAATCGCGACTATGTTCCCGTTGCACACACGATATCAGATTTCTGCGGGAACGACGAGTTAACGAGCTTCCGAATTTCAGCGTATCTGTTCGCTCGGTTCAGTCCCATTGTTCCCTTTGTTTCGTAAGTCATCTTGCCTTTTGACACGGAAATTCGTCGAGAGTCGACAACCGCGAATAAACGAAAATCTGACGTTTCGTAGACGCGTACGCACGTGTCCCTGTGATATCTCGAAATTGCCAGAACCTGCGAGCGACGCAATTTGCCCGCTGATACTCGTCGTTAAGTCAATGATAGTCGGCAAAAAGAGCGCGTAGGACGGTCGACACGATTTCCCTGATGAAACGAATTTACGCCGCGACAATTTCGTCTGCTCGTTTTACCGACCAGCTCTCTCGATCGTTTCGCGCTGCATTTCGGGGGGTTTTCGCGGGGCAAATAAACCGCAACCTCCTCGTACGAGACTCTGCGGTTTATTTTCGCCGCAGGCCCGTCGTTCGATATCGATGTCGCGAGAATAATCGTTGCGTTCGACGAATCTTCGGTGACTTCTGCTCCCGATAAAACGGTGATTCAGCGGTCGAAAATAACTGCGCGAATCAATGGACAGACTACTGGGAAAAAAGGCTTCGCGGAAATTGGCAGTGAATAACTTCGAGCACGAGACTCGAAAGGACACATACAGCGAAAAAATACTCTGTACAAGAAACTCTCGACTGAGAATAAAAAGGATCATGACAAGGACTCACCGAATCATCCTCTCCCTCTCGACCACCTCCTCGGGACTGGGCTGGGCGGGCGCGAGCAACGAATGGGGCAGCGGCGGGTACCTGGGCGACCTCCAGAGCATCTCGGAGGCGACGGCGGGATGATGGTGTCCAGGTGGTGCAGGACTCTGGTATCCGACCGGTGGCGCGGTGGCTGCAGCGGCTGCCGCGGCTG